AATTTTGGGGTGCTTAGCTTTGAAATTTAAAGCATTTAATCCCATAAAAGGTCACAAAATGTATAAGTGTACTCCAATTGAGTGCATGTACTAATTTTCAACTCCTATCACAATCCAATAAATAAAATAAAAATTATATGAAATTTTCTATGAAATTCACGTTTGATTAATTAAAGGCCCGTTTGATAATCATTTCAATTTTAGTTTTTTTTTCATTTTTTGTGTTGGAGTATAAAGGAAAAGAGGGAGAATGAGAGTGCAGATGGGATTGAGAGGGAAGAGATGAGAGGAGAGGATGGGAGGGAGGAGTAACAAAAGTGTAAACAAAAACTAAAAACTAATTAAAATTGTTTTCATTTTTGTTACTCCCTCATTCCATCCTCTCGTCTCAGTCTCTTCCGCACTCTCATTTTATTTTATATTCTAATACAAACAAATGAAAATTTAAAACAAAAATTGAAATGGTTATCAAACGGACCCTAAGGTAAGTGACCTAGTACTATAGGAAAGTAAATAGTCAAGCAACCATATTGTACAAATAAATAATCGATAAATATTGTCCTACTTTTACCCATGATTGAAGGCATAGGGAAATTTTGGGGTGCTTAGCTTTGAAATTTAAAGCATTTAATCCCATAAAAGGTCACAAAATGTATAAGTGTACTCCAATTGAGTGCATGTACTAATTTTCAACTCCTATCACAATCCAATAAATAAAATAAAAATTATATGAAATTTTCTATGAAATTCACGTTTGATTAATTAAAGGCCCGTTTGATAACCATTTCAATTTTAGTTTTTTGTTTTCATTTTTTGTGTTGTAGTATAAAGGAAAAAGAGGGAGAATGAGAGTGGAGATGAGATTGAGAGGGAAGAGATGAGAGGAGAGGATGGGAGGGAGGAGTAACAAAAGTGTAAACAAAAATTAAAAACTAATTAAAATTGTTTTCACTGTTATTACTCCCTCATTCCATCCTCCCGTCTCAGTCTCTTCCGCATTCTCATTTTCCTTTATACTCTAACACAAACGAATAAAATTCTAATACAAACAAATGAAAAATGAAAATTTAAAACTAAAACTGAAATGGTTATCAAACGGACCTAAATAAAAACTAAAAACTAAAATTAAAATGATTATCAAACGGACCCTAAGGTAAGTGACCTAGTACTATAGGAAGGTAAATAGTCAAACAACCATATTGTACAAAAAAATAATCGAAAAATATTGTCCTACTTTTACCCATGATTGAAGGCATAGGGCAATTTTGGAGTGCTTAGGTTTGAAATTGAAAGCATTGAATCCCATAAAAGGTCACAAATGTGGTGTCCTTTCAACTATACTGGGTGATTAGAGGTAATGTCTGCTTAGTTAAGTGATAAATTAAATTACATTATAAATATCTTTAACAGCGATAGAACCAGGTGTTAAATGAAATAAAGAAGAAGAAAAAAAACTCCTAGTAAGTTAACTTGATTTCACGAGTAGATTATGAAATCGTTTCCTTTTTCTTAAATTCAAATAATAAATTTATAACAACTGATTTGTGAAGAAATTACAGAAAACAAATTTAATTTGTTTTTCACTTCTGCTTCTTACGTTTTTGAAACTGTTCAATTCCAGCTATAAAATGTGAACGTAAACTATAAAACCAAACTCTTGCGTTTACTGAGCTCTTGGGACTAGTCAGGTGGTGAGGGAATTTTTTTTTAAAAAAAGAAAAGAAAAAAAGGTCAAGTGTAGGATAATTATTGTTTAATCCCAGACACCGATAAAATTACCATATGCTTTTGTTTTTTAAATAAAAGCGATAGTCTAAACTAGAGACATTTGTGTCAGTCAAGGCTTTTTTCCACTGGATTAAACCCGATTGGCTTTTATCTAATATATAGTATTTCAATAAAACACTTATTATATGTGTTTTTTTTATACAAGAAAGAAATTACAAGACAAAGCCCATCAGGCAAGAGTGCCCAAAGTGGTCAAAATAAAAGGGGGAATAGACCGATAATAGCAAACCAAACTCCCAGAAAATTTGAGAGAACAGCTCGTGCCCCAGCTTCGCAACCGCATTGGCCGTGAAGTTAGTCTCCCTAAAAACATGCTGGAAGCGAACATGGCTAACAGAAGAAGAAATGGACCAAATGTGCTGAATTATCTGAAGGGTACTCCAAGGGGGGGTAGCTTTTTTGAGAATGCTAATAAGAGACATGTGTAATTTATTTACATATGCTCGTTGGATTTGCCTCATATATTAACCGTTGGATTTGCATCAAAAGTTTAGACCATGGGAAGAAAGAGACACTAGAAGAAGATAAAAGAGGAAGTAAAAACAAATAAAAGTGGGGGGCTTTTCTCTTTTGTTTTTTTGTCGTTGTCCATTTTGAAGTCCAAAACCTGTACTCTCACTCTTGAAGAATATGCTTTCAACTCACGGTTTTATGCCGGTGTAGTTTAAGCATGAATACTTTTCTCAACACCCGTCAACTTCGCCTAAGTTCCAAACTCCGGGTCCATGAGACTGTTCTCAAAGAAAATTTCCACAAAAGAATATCTTGTTGCCGCGATTGAAGGGAAATTGGGAAGCTTAAAAATATTCGTGGGGAAGATGGAAAAATAAAAGGAAATTGGAGATGGTGCCTTAATTGACTCCACACTTTAAGTATTTCTTATCTTTATCCCGAAATTAAAATGGGAAAAAACCAATTGAATGATTCTTTTGTTATGTGCTATTTTTTGGGTTGCCAACGAGTGTTTTGAGGCGTTTGTTGCAAATAACTACACTAGTGGGTCATTTACAGGTATTTATCTTGTTATTGTATTGAATGTCAACAAAACACATTTAAATACGTAATAGCGGTTAAGAGCAATTATCCATACACCCGAGGTTTTATGTTCGATTACCCCATCCTCCAATATCGCTTATAGACCAAAAAAATATAACCCAATGCAACGTGCGTGAGAGAGAAGAAGGTGGGTATGTTGGGTCATTGTAGCATCTAATGGGCTTGGGTGGATGGACCCGAGAGTATCCCTAATCTTAAATCCCACCGAAGTTTAGTCCTTTCCAAATCTAGCCCTCCCCCACTGGGGTCAAATACATAAAACCATTTAAGCATCCCTTCCTAATTTTCCCTTAAATTCCTCAAACTAGCCATGCAGTCCAAGTAATTGTCAAAGTTGGATAAGTCCAAAATAGTCTAGTCCCACCCCCTTTAAGCATTTCTTAATTGTCAAATTTGTGAAATGAGTATGTTCCCATGGAAAATAAAGATAGCATTTTGTTTTCCAGTGGCTAAGTTTAAACATGCCCACAGTTTTTGGAATGTATCAAATGGGTTTTTATATTTTGTAATTATGTGCATGGACTAACGAAACCGTTAGGCTATAATGCAATGCGTGAAGCTGACTATATGCAGGCGGCCTCTGGTAATTGATGAAGTAAAAGTCTATGTAGAAGTCAATTAGGGTTTATCTAATCTAAATTTCTATATTCACATAAACCATGGATCTGGTCCAGATTATTAGGTCTTTATCTTCAACTTCATCTGCCTGCTCTCTTAGTTCCGTGAAGCTAAAGGAAGCAGAAGTATCAACACGATTCTATCACTTGGGTACAAGGCATTAATTGTTTGACCCTTAAGAAAGCTCTGACACGTGTTGCGTTGTGAGTAAAGTCAACTATTGAACAAATATTGGATCATGTCGATTAATTCTTTAGTGTGATCAAAATACAATTATGATATGTTTAACGGTTTCGATTCGTGCTGTTAATTAATTGAGACTCGGCTTAATGTGCATGGCCATGTTGAATTTACAATACGAAGACTAGAAGCTAAGCAAATTGTTAACAATGAGAGACCACCAAACCTAATTACTTCCCTTAATTGACTAATCAACAGTCTCTTTGAGAGAGAGAGAGAGAGAGAGAGAGAGAGAGAGAGAGAACGTCACCAAATTGCTTGTGGTCAAGGATAGATGGCCCATGCCAGCAAACAAATTGCTTCTTCACTATCACTACAATGTTCTCTTTCAAGTGCAGTATGCCCTTTGAGTAAAACTATTGCTTTCAGTCTTTGTTAAGGCCCAATAATTATACCCAATTAAGTAGTAACCATCTTCTTACTATTCATATATGTATATTAGCGCCCATATGCAAGTATGTATTGTTTAATTTGTGCACTTCACCTAACCATACACACCCTAAGAAATTTCTCTACCGCAACCACTATGCTTGAAGCTTTCCACCCCAAAGGTTGCGTCTAAATATTCGTTGACTTCTCTGTAAGTCTTACCAAATATTTGCAACAGAATGGAGACATGTTCTTACAAGTTACGCCCTTTTGTTTGTCCAACAGTAGAAGAAAAAAAAAAGGTACCAAATTGAAATACATTTGGGCCTTTCTGCTAAAGGTGCTGAACATTTTGAATGGATCGATACTAGCAATTAGCCCCAATAACGGGCCCCTTAGGATATAGTGAGAGATGGCCATGTACGTTGGACAAATATGAGGCCGAAAACCGAACAATAGGGAAACAAAATTCACAACATTGTACGTTGGCAGTGTGCGTGTGAGAAAACCTCATTTTCTTCCTAAATTTGACAAAACTGTTGCCTTATTTATATAAATTTTATCAACCTCTAATCTTTCCCAGCCATGACATACAATGCACATAACTTTTCAGCGCAGTGAGATAGCAATGAGCATCTTTTAGCTACGAAAGTTACATAAACTGAGCAATGTGTAACAGTGGTTTTCATGATGAGGATATGAATGTAGTAAATGTATCAAACTGGGTTTTCATGATGATAAAAACCCCGCCATTAATCTCACTCTGTAACCTCATAATTAACCTCATAATTAACAAACAAAATGTAAAAAAATGCAACAGTTCAAAATACTAATTATATTAATGATACAAAAAAAAATGCTCCTCTCTCCATGAGTAGTGATCAATAATCCTTTTTTGCCTTTTGTTTTTGAAGTTACCTGCCTCTTAATAAGGCCTTCTCTGCAGTTTCCACCTCTTCCAAAATCCTTGCCTTTCTCTTTGCCGGAAGTGGAGCTGTTGGTCCAAAACTAACATAATGCCCTGACACTGCATTGATTGCCGAATACATGTCTCTGAAAGAGACCCTGCTAAGCAGAGTCTTCTCCCGCCTGTACTTAGCCACCCAAGAATTTGATGTCTCTCTGAGCTCAGCCACAGCAGAAGCCACATTGGGATCGTTCCTGTCCATGTTAATGGTGTTTCTCACCTTGTTGATCACCTCCTCTGTTTCCTTAACGTACTCTTCATCAGAAGCCGCAAGTGCGGATGGTGTCAGTGGGAAGAGCCATGCTGGTGACGACAGACTTGCTGCCGCCGCCGCCGCAAAAGATAAGAATTCACGGCGGCGGGGTTGTGGGATTGTGGTTGTGGTGGAGGCGGTGGTGGTGGTGGTGGGTTTGGTGGCCTTGATTGGAGGGAGGGATTTGAGTTTAGAGGTGGGAGTTAGGAGTGTGGTTGAAGCCATGGTTTGTAAGTTGGGGGAGTGGAGGGAGGATTGGGAGGAGAGAGAGTTTTGTGTTTGTAGGAGTAGAGCAGTAATTGGGTTTGTGCCACGTGTGCTTATCACCTTATCTTAGTTTCTGGTCTTATGGATGAGAGGTGACCCAATGAGATCTTAGATATAGATCTGCTTGGGGTGTGTGTGTGTTCTTATTTAGGTTCAAGCTACTTGAAGCTTGCGAGGCCTTTGACTGGCTGCATTTAAAACAGCAAAACTAAGAGCACAAAATTTTATGGAAGGACAACAATCTTGGTTTGGAGACTTGGGAGCATGAAGAAACTAAAGATCAACCCAAAAGGAAGCTACAAAAGCTTTGGGCCTAAATGAACTTAGATGTCCTTGGGGAAAAAAGACCTCAGGCTATAAGCCTATATTGGTATTAAACTTGGGCCCAAAGAGAATTTTAATCCTTAGGATACTTCATCATCCATGTAATGTTTCAATCCATTTAAATAAAGTTATTTTTTCTCGAAAAAATACAAGCAATAATCTAAACTACAAGGAAAATGAGAATTTCTCAGACACACTACCAATGTGCCATGATTCAAACCTGAAACCACTTATTTGCAAATCCCCATCGGCATTCGTTTTAATAATTTGAGATTCCTAAGTTCTATAACTTGTACGACCAAAAAGAGTTCTCTAACTTGTAAAATCCAAGTTGTAATTTCAGACCAAATCCAGATTCCTTTGTTTGAGCTGGTGGTCTGCCAACTCTGTCCATGCTGTCCTTGTTTATTCAGACTGCTATGGTAGCTTTGTTCAGGAACTTGGATGGTTACTTTTCTCCTATTACACAACATGATATTCAAATCCTTTGTTCTCATAGCTAGTTTGGTATGCCTTCCCATTTGCTTGTAAACTGTGCTTATTGTTTAGTTTATAAAAAATATATATATATACACATTTATATTCAAATACAAGTTCTCCAAATACAAATTCAAATTCATCTCTAAGGTCATGTTTAGTGACTAAGATTGGATTGGATTGAATTATGAGGTATAATTGGAAATGATAAATATCTTTTATTGGCACTATTGTCCCGAGTTTGTATTATAACTCCCGCATCTTGGGTTCAAGATCAAAGAGGTTGGAGTAGTGGAATTATGTATCCCACTTTTTTTGTAAGATAAATTATCATACAAAAATGCACATATTATAATTACGGTAGAGTTATCCTTTATCCTATCTACATTCATTTTTTAGCATCGAATATGGTATTGGATTAAGCTAATCCAATTCTACTACTTATCCTACCCACCAAACGAGGCCTAAATCCCTCAGTCCAAGAAAAAGCTTTTTAGAGAACAGCATTCTACTCTCATAGCACAAAAGGGAAATTACAGCCTCTGTTTTGTTCCTCAAATGATTCATTTCACTGGCAGTGCTTGCCTAATTTTACTTTTCAACTTTATTTACAACTCAACCTCGGGTTTAGTTCCAATATATTTTTATATGGTATGGTTTGCATATCATATATGAACCCCACTCAGTTTTTATCTTTATTTTTTTAAAATATAATTTGGGTGCAAAAAGGTTTTGGGGTACATACTTGTTACTTCATAAAGAAGCCAAGGGTAACATTTGTGCTCCTCCTTTTCATCATTCTATCTTGTACCCATCCATACAATATATATATATATATATTTCTTCCTTTTTATTTGTCATTAAATTCCATTTTGAAATCATAAAAAGAATCGAAAATAAACTAAAAAGAATCCGAAGGATATGTGTGTAAATGAATATTAAGGGTGGTAATTACCAATTAGAGCATCGAATGAGAATTATTATAATATTTTGTATGGTCATTCCGTATGGTTATGATCCTTAATCATGACTAAATAATCATTTGTCATTAAAAAAATAATTATGGGTGGACAATAAAATTCAGTAGACAGGTAGAACATAACAAAGTTGAGATAAGGGCCTACATTTTTAGAATTGTTTTTAGGATATTTGTTGTAAAGATAAAGAGCAGCAGTAAAGCCATGACTTGAAAGTTTGTGGAAAGTATATATAAATAAATATATTTTAATTCTTTCTAATTTTGATAAATTATGAAACAACAGGAAGAAAGGAAAAAGAAAAAGAGGATTCAATTTGAATTTGGATTGATGCATTGGATTTTCCAAATAAACAAATATAGCAAAAAGGCAAAAGGAAAGCATAAAAAGTTAGAACATATCCATGACTTTTCTTTTTCTTTTTTCTTGTTAGAGGATGAAATTTCATTACGAAAACTCGCCCAAAAGCGAATGACACAAATACAACAATATAAGCAACCCAATTAGGAAGCACAAATCTAATTCGCAATATCAGATAAACATGAGCAATAGACTGCCCCAAATGATAATATCAATAGATAAACAAAACTAAAATTGACAAAAACAACACAGCAGCAAAAACCCCAGAAAAACATAAACACCACCAAACTGCAAGCAGAAACCAACAACCCTCAAAACAATCCCAAGGCAAAACAAACAGAACCATGAAACAGGAGGGAGGTCTTTTAATTTAAGCAAATAAATTAAATTATAAACCTATATTCATTCAACATTTTCATCAATATTATTTTCGTATTTTTGATACAGAAACAAATGTAAACCCATGTTGATTGGTCAATACCTTCTGGATATAGATTATCAGAAAAGAAAAAAAGAAAAAAAATCTTTTGGATTTAGAGACATGACCTGATTTTCAAATAAAGCTGGAGTGTGAATTCAGTCATGTCCCATGTGAATGTAACGTGTTCCCATCATTTATCAAAGAAAACAAAATTTTATGATAATTTTCTTAAATATTAACGGGTACATTTTTGAAAAACATGTAGAGGTATTTACGACTGAACATTACACAACCGGTATATGAAAATGTATATCAGTACATTTTGATATTATTTTTGTACAGAAAATGAAAATAAATGAGAAAAAAAGGCCAATTACTTTTGAGCTGGGTTGCCCTTTATTCCTTTTTCAGTCCCACATGATCTAGGTCTAGAGCAGTTCCAGCTCTTCACAATTAAGGGGCACAAAATTTGGTTGGGTCACAGACTCACAAATCCAGAGGGTCTCTCTCTCACATTTCTCTTCAATGCTTGCCTTGCAACTTGCATATTGAATTGATACATGCAACTGCAAGGTTTGTATGGAATATGTTATGTGCAAGTTTTACCCGTTAATAAGGATTGAATTCAAAACCTAAGTGAAGATTTTATGCGTGATAAAAGTTCATTTAATCATACATAAAATTAAGAACCGTAAATCAACACCTTAAGTGGGTCACAAACTCACAATAATGGTTTAGGTACCATCATTTTCAAAAATTATGCTTATCCTATCTTCAACATCATATTGAGACAACTGTATGAGGAGTTTAAGTAATAGACAAGATTGGTAGAAAGCCTAATCTCATGCCATGATTTGGGTTTAGGAGAACCCTAAAAAGCTTTCAAGTAATCTGTCAGACTGTCACCCTTTTAAAAGTTTTTAAGTTGGGTTGCTTTCATATTTGCCAATTTGCCATTGCCTAGGCCCATCTCTTCCCTCCCTCCCATTTAAATCATACCATTGATCTTTATAAAAAGAGATAAAAATAAAGAGAAAATAAATAAAGGAAAAAGAAGGTCGACAGCAAAGCTAACACGGATGGGAGCAGGAGAGGAGAGGAGAGGAGAGTTGGCAAGTTGTCAACTTTTTGTTTACTTTGAGTTGAGGGCGGGACATTCAGCCACGTCACGTGTCCCGAGTTTGTGTCAGTTTGGCGTGCTTTTCTGTCTTTTAATTTCGAGCAGCACCAGTTTCTGGTTTCAAGTTTTCATACTCTTCATCTTCACTCCAAAATGATGGTCAGTAAGTCATGTAATTCTGTTTTTTTTTTTCCTACTGTTGGTAAGTAGTGCATAATATGAGCCTGAATAACAATACAATACTAAACAACGAAGACTTATTTTTAGCAACGGAGATTAGTTTAGTTGGCCAAAATAATAAGTTCATTCTTTTGCACTAAAGTTCGAATCATTTTCATTTTAAATTTAAATTAGATTAATTTAACATAGTTTATTCTATCTTTTATGTTCAAAAAATAACTTACTAGCAAATCAAATATGCGTAATTTATAACATTTGATACATTATGAGTGTCGTATGATTACCTAAACCAGCAATTAGTTGTAATACAACTCAGGAACAACGAATATATGAAAGGGAAAGAAACATGTTCCTAAACTCATACTAGGACCTGGTCCAATTGAAGTGACAAACAGTCTAGAAATGTAATTTCGATCTTTAGGTAGGAAAATGAGAAGAAAAGGAAAGAAAGGGAAAGAAAATGGGATGAGGATTGGACGCGCCATAAGTTGAGTGTAATGAACAGTGTAAGTTGCATCATGAGATTGATTTTTCAATCATTTTTTCAACCGGGAGGTGCACGGCTACTCCACAGTAACTGCTCTCCCTCTCAATCTCTCTCTCTCTCTCTCTCTAGTTTCTACTCTGTCCTGCCCTGCTTTTGCAATTAATGCACCACCCTCCCTCCCCTCCACCATATTAATATCTCTCTTTCTGCCCTCTTCTGTTTCCTTCACTCTGATCCCAAAGCTCAAATCTTGCCATAGAAAATTGCAGAAGAAGGTAATGGATCCTATGTACTCAATGAACACTTCATACCCTTTTCTTAAAGTTTCTACTTTTGCTCCAATTTTTAGTGCTTTGTTTGTTACAGTACTAAGTTCTTTGATCAATGATGCTCTTCTTTCTTTTTCTTTATCTATTGAACTCTTGGACTGTTGCACTCTTGATTTGAGTTGAACTTACTAGTGATTTAGAGTTACAAACACAGAGCAATGGAAGATCTGTGTGTACAACTTCTCTATCTCTCCGCACACTAATCTTTTACTTTATCTTTTGAGTTTGGAGTTCAGTTGGGTAGCTGGGAAAACTCAGAGAGAGAGAGAGAGAGAGAGAGAGAGAGAGAGAGAGTTAAACATCCTAAAATTCATGTTTTCTGCCGCTTTTCTTTGTAAAGATTGAAAATTTCAGCTTAACTAGCCTGGTGTAGCAGGCTCAGTCAAGTTAATGTCTCTGTCTACTCAGGTCTCACTCAAAAAAGTTTTCAGATTTCTAGTTTAACTAAAATCATTCTCTTTTCCTGCATTTTTCTAGCAACTTAACAGAAAATTTGATGATTGTTTGTTATTTGTTTTTTACTTTTTGTTTGCTCTTTTTGATGATCCTGTAATATTTTAGAGATCTTTTCTGCTCAAAAGTTGTCGTCTTTCTTTGGCGTTTTCTCAGTAACCAAACATGGTTTAATCCTGTTTATGCTTTGTTTTTTTTTCTTTGTATGATAAATACGTAATTTTTACATGATTATGTTTTTGACCAAAAAAAAAATCATTCCTTTCGTCTTTTCCCTGCTTTTCCGATTTGCTTTATCTCTTCTCGGATTTCTCTCTAGTGGGAAAGCAACAGTTTCGTACAAATTTCATTATTGCTTTTTACCCTCCGTCTCTCTCTCTCTCTCTCTCTCTCTCTCTCTCTCTCTCTCCCCGAAACAGTTCGTTGACCGAACTCTATGATCTGTTTGGTTACTGTGAAAGCGGATAAAAAAAAAGAAAGAAAAATATTCTACATAACATTCCAAGCTGTCAAGAGTATGTCTTTCTGGGTTTCTTAAGATTCCTGTACCGTGTCTTTGTGAGCAACCTTATCAAAATTGGGTTTCTCTGAGTTTGTTTTGTTCGTGCTACTGCTTTCTAGTTAAGCTGAGGAGAAGGCAAGATTTTGGAAAGTCTCATTCTTGTTCTCGTTTTTGCATCTCTATGCACTACTTGTTGGGCTGTGTCTTTGGAAATTCCTTTCGCCGTAGTTTTGTTTTGTTTTGCTTTATTAAGAATTACATGATTAAATGATGGTGGGTTCGGCATAGGAGGAAAAGACAATGAGAAATTCATAGTTAATCCCTTTGATTTTTTGGGTCTGAATCTCGCAGTCACTGAATACAGGGCAGATTTTCTGTTTTTTTCTGTCTCCATTGGCTTCTATTTTGTAAGGTCTTTATGTGACTCAAATTGCTGAAAATCTTACCACTTGGTTTGTATCACTGTGAGTCCTCATGAAGGGCAAAGTATCAGGACAGCCTTTTTAAGTATATTCTATTCCTTGTTCACATGGAATTGTTTTTCTAATGCATTTCAGCTTCTTTACATGCAGCCATTTTTGCATTCTGTGTAACCAAAGACTAAACAATTCATTAACTAATGTCTTCTCGTTTTCCTCAGCTGGTTTTGCTATCGAACCACGGAATACATTTGACCAAGATAAAATGACCTCATTTTTCTATATGGACTTGTAAAGTGGCTTGTGGTTTGATGTGTTGGAATCTTTGGTATTTGGATAGTCTATTGCTCGGTTGACCATTTGAGCAAACTCAGAATTTCATGTGAGCTCTGTTTGGCAAAAGGAGGAATTTTATCCTTTACTACGTCAGATGTCTTCTTTGTGGAGCTGAGCAGATGGGGGCTTGCGTTTCGACTAGTAGTCGGAGTACTCGTAGTAGCAGGAGCAATGGAGAGACAGTTGCTCACTCGTTCTTGGGGATTGGATTTTGTGGGCAAAAGAGAACGAAGAAGACATTCTCAGACCATGTATATACTCTCCAGAATTTACACTCCATTCCCAACCGCATTTTTACTAATGGAAAGAGCCGAGCTTCTTGCATATTCACGCAGCAGGGTCGCAAAGGCATAAACCAGGATGCTATGGTTGTGTGGGAAGTAAGTTTCTTCTGCACAGTGGGAATAATATTTGAACATGTTGGTAGGTTAATTTCTAAACTCTTGATTTTATTTTCTTTTGAAGGATTTCATGTCAGAAGATGCGATATTTTGTGGCGTGTTTGATGGCCATGGTCCACATGGTCATCTTGTTGCACGCAAAGTGAGGGATGCATTGCCAGTAAAGCTGCTATCCTTCTTGCATTCTTATCAATCAAGGTTAAATGGGTCCAGTAAAACATGTTTCAAAGGGAACCTAAAGAGATCAGATGGTGGAGATTCTGAGAAGGATGCTTCAGCTGAGGAAAAATTAAATGTAACATGGAGAGAGGCTTTCCTGAAGTCATACAAGGCCATGGACAAGGAGCTGAGGTCCCATCCTAATTTGGACTGCTTCTGCAGTGGTAGCACTGCTGTCACTCTAGTCAAACAGGTACGGCAGCAAGCACCTTCTATGCTCTTCTTTATTTTCCATTTAGTTTGCTTTGTTATTTATTGATCCTCTTTACAGGGGTCAAATCTTTTCATGGGTTATATTGGGGATTCCCGAGCAATCCTGGGATCAAAGGACAGTAGTGATTCCATGGTGGCAATCCAATTAACTGTTGATTTAAAGCCTGATCTGCCAAGTATGAGTGATATTATTATCGTTTTTTCATCAATGTTTTGGCTGCCTGCTTGTTGTATGAACCTTGGTTGATGCTTTGTAAATGTCATAGGGGAAGCTGAAAGAATTAAACGGTGCAAGGGTAGGGTATTTGCTTTGCAAGATGAGCCTGAAGTGTCTCGAGTATGGTTGCCGTTTGATGATGCCCCTGGGTTAGCAATGGCTCGAGCCTTTGGTGATTTCTGTTTAAAGGATTATGGAGTGATCTCTATACCAGAGTTCTCACACCGGATACTTACTGAGAGAGATCAGTTCATCGTTCTTGCCTCAGATGGGGTAAAACTTTCAGCTTTGAAAACCTCATTTTTTTATTAGCTGATCCCGTATGGACCGTGTCTTATAAACTGCAAAGTAAATTACTTAAAAAAGTAACATAATAATCATACAACAACGAGGAAAATCCGTTTGTTGCACAAGACAGCTTCCAGGAACCAACTATGAAGTGATCGAACTACAAACAATTTGGTCACATTATAATCACCAAACATGATAGTGGAATAGACGATAGATCTCATGAGATGTAAATACCAGTAAGAAAGTCCTGAGCATCTGGATTCATAAAACATCAGTGACAAACGAGTGCTAAGATCTGGCATGATCTTGCTACTTGAATGTATACTTTATAGTTAAATGAGGGCTGCATTTTCTCCTATACCTTCCACACAAGCAGGCCATGAAAATGGGAAGTTTGCTCTGCTTATTAATGTCCTTTTTCTCTGTTGGTCCAATGGGAACTCTAAGCCCCTCAGAGTTATACAGAAACCCAGGCAAACAAGAGATAGCATGATTGACATTTAAATGACTGCTGCATAGCTGGTGGTGGCACTTGGCTATTGATATATTGAATCACTCAAATTTTTCCAGTTTTTAACTCCATGAATTTTTTAGGATATAGTGATATGTATGTTTATGTTTTGTTGAATTCCTCCATTAATTTTTTTTTCCCTCTTTTCTTTTTATTATATTTGTGAAATGTCCAAAGAAGTAGAACTGGGTCTTTTACATGCAAATTTGTTACATTCTTTCAGAGAATATGATTTTTCTTAGAGATGAATGGGTCTCTCTTTAGGGAAACTTTGATGGAGAACCCGAAAAATATTATAACTTATAACCTTGTTATGCCTTTACTTTTAGGCTCTGCGAGTTGTAAGAAAGCGTAAAGAGGCATTAGATGTTAAAGAATTTGAACTTGTAAATGTTACAGGTTTGGGATGTCTTAAGCAATGAAGAGGTTGTTGAGATAGTGTCCTCATCCCCGAGCCGGGCATCAGCAGCAAGGATTGTGGTTGACTCAGCTGCTCGTGAATGGAAACTCAAATACCCGACTTCAAAGATGGATGACTGTGCAGTCGTTTGTTTGTTTTTGGATGGGAAAATGGACTCTGAATCTGATTATGAGGAACAAGGCTTTTCATCTGCAACACTTCAGAGCAATCACTCCGGAAATGCAGTTGAATCAGATGATGGCCAGAAGTCAGAGCCATCTCTGCAGAGGAATTTCACAGTAAGATCATCTGATGAAAGTGATACTTATGGACGACTACCGGTTGAGATTGAAGGGAATGAAGAAACAATGGCAGCTGAAGACCAGAACTGGTCAGGTTTGGAAGGTGTCACGCGTGTGAACTCGCTTGTTCAACTTCCAAGATTTTCAGAGGAAAGGCATTAGATTTTGTAATTCAAGTATAAATGAAATGGGCTAGCGTTTGTTGTACTATGGGATATTTTTTTGCCTCTTTAAAATCCAAACGAAAGATAATCTTTCTGGATTGCCATTTCCTCAGCGTTTTGTTGGAGGAAAAAAAATCACTGAACAATTCTCTTCAGGCAACTGAGGCAATTTAGCTGTCTTTCTAAGTTTTATGTAAATTGTTTAGTCAAGCTCCAATTTAGTCACACCCGACGCTTTACCAAGTTGAATAGTCTACTAAAGCTGTTGCTGCCTAGAACAAGATACGCATCCTGAATGAAGCTATATAATTGTAGGTTAGACGAAACAATTTTCAGACAATGTGAAGTTAATTGTGAACAAGAGTTAGCTAGAACTATATTAGGGAGGCTCGAATGAGGGTTTATAATGAAGGGGTTTTTTTTAATGTAAAGTTATTATTGGACTGCTGGATTGAAACCCCTCATTGAAGCTCCCAAACTATATCCAGCGGTATTTGGTGGGCTGAAGATGGATAATTGGTGAAGGAAAACTACTGGTACCAGAAACACATTTTTTTCCTCTCTCTAAATGGATGGCTTTAACTCTGTGGATTTAAGTGGTAAGAAAAACAAAAAACAAAAAAACAGGAAACAAGGAGAGCCAATAAAATGGCAGGTGAACAATAAGTCAGTGGAAATTGGAATGTGGAACCCATATTAAATAACTTGTTCCAAACCAGAAAGCAAATAAGAAAAAGGTACTCGTGCATAATATGGAATGAAGCCATAAATTTGAGAATCTACATTGCAGGCACCTTTATAGCGGGAAGTGACTTCTTTTAAAGTTGGCAGCAGTAAAATAATTAGCATTCACAATCAGATCTTCTCCACAAGAGCTTAGGTGACCAAATAGTAAAGAAGATGAAGGCCCAGAAAAAAAACCAGAAATTAATAGTAAACTACTTTCATTCACATTCACAGAGGAATGTGCTGACAGAGCCGCACATCGAACAAACCAGTAGAGCATATAATGCCTGCATTAATGGCCGCAAGAGTTGCTGGTGCATATAGGTAGATTTTAATAGATATGAAGTACACGCCAAGACAAGACCCCACTGTCTTTTTTATCCTTCCAGTGCATCAAAATTATCGAACTAGAAGAAACCCAACTCATCACTCTCTTGTTTTTTTGCCCGTCTCTCTCCATGCACGTATGCATTTGGATATCTCTTCTCTGCCTATCCATGGCTTCTAGAGGCGCACAGTCTCTTAACTCACCGCCAAATGTTCACCCAACTTGCTAAAAATCCTCAACTATAAGAAGAGCCCTTCTTTTCCTACATTCTCCATCACCAAACCAACTTCAGCAAGAGCTATCTTCTCCTCTCTTGCTCTCTCTCTCCGTTTGTATAACATTTCTCTGATAATGGCTGACAAAACCCGTTCTTCATTTCTGCCTCTCATCTCCCTTCTTGTTGTCCTTCTTGCAATAACAGGGCAAGCAGTTGCAGGACGAAGTGTCCCAACCAAAGATGACAAGAAACAACCTGAGTGGTTTATTGGCCATGATGGCAGCCATCTCATTCCAGGCATTGGGCGTGTGATATTCCCACCACTGCATAATGTTGTACCTCAGACTCCATTCCCCGACAACGGCAGCACCGGCAACACCGGTGGAAGTGGAAGTGGAGAAGCGCCAAGTACTGGTCATGACTATGTTCCCGGTGGCGACGATACATTCGTCCCAAACCCTGGTTATGAGGTTCCAAACCCTGGCAATGGTGCTGGTACCCCACCAACCCCACCGAGTCCCTGAATTTGTTTGAGCATGAGGAGCTTTCAATAAGTATGCTAGATCATGATCTGTATCATTCAACTAGCTAGTGTGCTAGATTTATGCGTTTCTGTTCTTCTGTCTTTGGTTTTCTTTGGGCTAAGAGAGCTAGATGGGTGTGTATCTCACTTGGCATTGCAGTGAGAGACCAGGGCTGTGCTTACTGGCTTTGAAATAAAGCAGCTTTTGTTAAAGTGCTTTCGTTGTTTAATTAGAATCAGTGAAGTATCAGTAGCGTTTATTTCAGTACTTGCTTTTCTGTGCAATCTTTAGCCATGTTTTGTGTGTGCTCTGCATCTGCATCTTCATTTTAATTTTACATAGCAGGTGTCAGGGGTAGACATATAAAGGTGGACCTGATAGAAGAAGCAACTAGACCTAATCTTAAAACAAAAACGACATTAATTCGAATGGCCTGTTTGATTGATTTCAAGTTTGCTATTTGCCTATTAATTTGTCGGGCATTACAATGCTGTTAGTCGACATCAAGGTTTCTCAACAAAGTCTAAGCTTGCAAAATTGCATCAAATTAATTCATGGATGGTTAGGTGTGCCATCAATGAAGATTATATGCGCCCCACTTCTTAAGTTCAACTTGGCATGAAAACAATTGACATACACCTTCCTGATCTGAAGAAGAAAAAGAAAGGCATAACATTCATATATGAATAGTACATGATACCAATTCGTAGAGATTAACATTCATATTACACTGATATGATCCACTTCAATATGTATATGTATGTTCCCAGAATTACAGGCCATAAAAAGCAATTGTTTCTAAATCACATTTGATCAAAAGGGCACATGATTTTTCGATACCAAGAAAACGTCACGAATTTGAGATGGCAGAATCTGAATCTGACCAAGTCAATGCCCTGTTAGGCCTTCAAGCTTGCACTTGTACCTGTCACATAATCCCAGATTTGTCATTAAAGAAAAGAGCTGCAAAGACATGAACAACTTGTAGACACAGGTCAAAACTCATGCTCTCTCCGGAATGAGTCACCTCAAGATGTCTAAAATGTTATGAACTCCTAAACTGAAACCTTCACATACTTTAAGTTAGCACCATAAGCAATGTTCATTTTATTGATTGCACGTTACGAATTTTCGACAACATTCTACTGGAAATTCAGAAGCAAAACAAACACCGGCTAAGATATAGCAACAATCCAATTGACTGAAAGCATTGATTAATTTATTGGTTGCAATTTCCTGGAAGTTAATTGTAATCCTAGCAATGTAATGAGGGCAGCGAAGCGACCAGTAGAAAGAACTGGTCTATAGGGCCAGCTCCTCTATTTGAATAGCTCACAGGAATCTATCAATCTGAATTTCTGTGTCTTCAGGAAATCTAAGAACTGTCAATTTCAATATTTACTTGGATTCATAGCAACATGTTCATATAACCTCACTACATCTACCCGCAATAAACTCACTACCACCACAAATTCATTTTAGGTTTGGCTAACCTTCATTGTCCCATGCATTCAATTCAAGGACCTACTCATTCCTCTACAGAAATCTAAAACAATAATATTCCATTGAAATAAAATTTCTTAATACACAAAGAGCCTAATCCATATATTCATATACATGTAGCAGAAGTCTATTCAAAAAAATATACATGTAGCATAATTAAGCTATGTATTAGCTTCTCACTCAATTGATTATCAGAAAAAAATTCAAACCCAAATCAAGGAAAAAACTGATTGGACCCACAAAAATCAACAAAGAACATTACATCAATTGCATTTATTAAAAAAAAAAAAAAAAACCGCATCAAGGAAATGGAGAAGAGGGAGGTGGAGGGTCAACCTGATTGAAAAGAATGTCGGTCTCAGAGTGAAAAGGAATCGGATGTGGTTCCGAGTACAATCTTGAAGATGATGAAGCAGAGGAACGCAAAGAAGATCGAGAGGAAAACGTAATCCACGAAGACGAAGAACTCGGTTGAGCCATGGTTCCTCTTCTTTTTCAGCTTCACGATGTTGTTGCCATTTGACTCTTGGTGCACTTCTTCCACTTTCGCCATTGTTGTTTGAAGTCCAGTGGCAGGTGGTTTTGGATCTAAAGGGGGTTCCAGGATCCAGGTGCAACAGATATTTCAGATCTGGGGCTCGTTGTGTAATTTCCTGAAATTTCCAGCCTGAGGACGTTGGTTATCGGCTGTTGAATCCCGCGCGCTTTGGAATTGTTCCATATATGGGCTTTCAAGGATTATACACACATTGGGCCTTTAAAAAAAAAAAAAAAAAAAAGTCCTTTTTTAGTTTTAATAAAATATATAGGGGGATGGATCATAATGGATTGAACCAAACTCGAGTGCACTTGGGCGAAGCAATGTTGTCGTCCTGGTCAATTGGGCTGATTCACGTATATAGAAGAAAAATCCAATTTAAAAACTCATTATAAAACAATGCCATATATTTGTTACATCAGAACAAACAAAGGTGGCTCCAAATGATTTTGACTTATATCATACTTCAAACAAGATTAGATCAACTAGTTACAAAGCTGTATCAAGTACAAGTATACAGTCTCTACAAAGCTGTAACAAGAGTTGCAGCAGCTATTCCGATAATTATACACAACTAAAACCATCCTGAAGATCGTATTCAATTTGAGAATAAATATAGAACACATACAATGCTAGAATTCTTTGTAATGTATACGTTTGGTCAGGGCAACCAATAAATTCCCACCTTCCATTAGAAGCTTACTTAACTCATTCCGCTTCCGATTAGATAGTGGTCTGCACAGCCAATGAATGATTATCTCCCCTTTCGACACATATGTATTGAGTGTTTGGCTTCAAAAAACTTATAGAGCAGAAATGGTGGTTACAGTGTTGAAGGTAGAAAACCGCCTCTCAGTACCATGTTTTCCAAATAATTTAGTCCTGCTTACAACAAAATAACAGAATTATGAATTTATTAGTTTTATTTACTTTTCATTGGACCCAAAATTCAGCGGGTTACCCTTAGGCATCTTGGAACATGTATTGAAATTCTCAAATAGGCTCTACAGTAACGGTGCTAACATGGCATACCTTAGGAGAACTGCTTGACGAAGATGCAGAATCTGCTCCAGATGATGCCTCAGATATACTGGACTCTGACTTCTCATTTGAATAACTATACAGAGAAAATTTCCAACAGTGAGAGAAGATTAAGACACCTCTAGATTAATACTTTGCAACCTTATCATGTGTAATAAGCATCTAAAAAGATAAGAACAAAAAGGAGGCATTAAAAAAAATGACAGTTTACTCTACCAGGGGAGGGGTACACAGAAATTCTTGCCATATAAAAGAAACTAAGATCAGAGGCTTACGTTGAGAGAATAGTAACCCAAATAAGCTCCACGCAGTCCACCCAAAGAAGCCTTTGTT